TTAATTGCTTCGGGCGCAAAAAAAAACTCCAGACCGAATGTCGGCCACGGTGGCCTGCCTCAACGGAGGCTAGCCAACGGCGCAGGACAGGATTATAGTGCCCAAGTGAATGCGCAAGCACTGGTGCACTCTCTATTCCCTCACTCTCATAATCCGATGGGACGGTAAGCCGACACGACCGGAGAGAGATCAGGCGCAGGACCAACGGCTTTACATGCTTTTCCGAGGCACGGGGGTGAGACACCGCCGACTTCCTGACTCCGGGCGGCTACTGAGAATTCCTTGACAGAAAAACTCAATAATCGATTTTTTGGTCCGACCCGGGATTCGAACCAAGACCTCATGATCAGCAGTTGCACTACTACAACCGCTAAACCAACGAGGCAGTAAAATGTATACAGGGATACCTAATATAACTAACTGTTTGTTATAAACATTTATGAATAATTGTCGTTGCATATTAAAAAGAGCTGTTGGTTTTCTAACTAAATAAATAAGTAGACATATTTTAGCCTTTTTGGAATAATATCACGTGAATTTAGATTATTATTCATTGCCGTAATGATTGTGTCTCTTTTTTTATTTATTTATTGATAGAACCACCAACGGAATAACATGTTGTTTTAAAAATATGTGATAGGCTTAGGAACTGATTTATTTTCCATTTAAAGGTAGTTACAGCATGTTTGAGATAATATAATAATTTTATGAGTAAAATATATATAACAATAATGAAATATGAAAATAAAAATATATAAATAACAACATTTTTCGAGTTTATATAAAGAATGGTATAATTTTTACTATGAGTTTTTAAATAGATTGACAATTTTGCTCTAAAGGATTTTTACTATCGTTAAATAAGTCAATAGTCTTATCTTTAAGGACACATTGTTATATAATCTGCTTATTTCTTTTTATGGAATAGGGCAACAAATAAGCACACAGTCCGCATGTTGGTAAGTGGATGCTGCGGCCCATAGACATGCACATCTATTCTCGATTAGGAATCAAAATGCAGATGCATTGTCATCCCTGAGGACGTTATTTATTTATTTATTAATCGGACAACATTTTATATTAATTTTTACATAATATTAATAGCTAATATTTACAAGGATTTGATCTCGAGTACAAACCTAAGACGCGTACAAACATTTGCAACATTCATTATACGTAAACGCATGCATGAAAAAAATAATATGGAATGCCTCGTTTCAAGTTAAAACGGTATCCGGTTCTCTATACTCACAGAGCGGAGTCCTTTCCCGGTTCATTCGTACTACAACCATAAAAACCACGCGTGACTTTTAACATTTATATTTTATTAGACTGATTTATAGTATTATATTTATACTATACATAACATATATTATATGTAATATGTATCATACTGCCCGTTTGTAAATAAGATTAAAAGGGGTTTAAGGTGTGCAGAAATAAAATGAATTGTTATTGTGATATCTTATCATGAAGATATTAATAGTAAGAACGGATTTCCCTAAATTAAAATAGCTAACTTTTTGTAAAGAAATATTTTATACAGTTTGCACGATCTATCTAATAGTAAGCGCATGCTGAAGCCCATTGACATGTACTTTTATCCTCGATTAAGAATCAAAATGCAGATGCGTTATCACCCCTGAGGACTGAGATGGAATGCCTCGTTTACAGTAAAAAGTGTCCAGTTCTCTGCACTCACCACACGAAACACACTGCACATTTAGCTGCTATTTTACGCTGGTGTTCTGTGAGAGCGTGGTACTTCCCCGGTTGAACCGACTCATTCGTGCTACTACTATACTACTAATATAACTGCAGCATGGCTCTACCACGTATAAAAAGATATTCATAAAAGTAGAAAATTTAAAAAAGAAAAAATTACACTTATAAACTTTTATTTAAAACTAACTTCTCAATCAAACGATATTGTGTAACAAAAACTTCACCTCAATGTCAACTAGCGACATCTTGTGAACGTAACATTATTAGCCCTTATTAAAGAAACAGATTTAAAAATAAACCCCACTCTCACTTACAATATGTCTAATATGATGGTATGACAACTCTGGCAAGACAGAAATCGATCATACCTACACCCTATGACTTAAAAAACCACTAACCTTGAACTTTTGACGTCATACATGGACAGACGAATATAAGGATTCTTTATTAGACGATGGGAACCGAATTATGAAAAGGGCTGTAGTTAAAGTTAGTAAAAGTTACAGCCTTTACGTCCCACTGCTGCGCAAGGAAATGTCCGCCGCGCTATTCACTGCCCGAGCACGAGGTAAACCAGCATTCAAAATTGCATTTAACAATTCCATTGGTGCCGGCGGGGATCGAACTCGGGTTGCTCGCGTACTGTGATATTTACAGCGAGTGCTTAGCCCCTGAGCTACCACGGCTATAAATCTTCGTACCACGCTCGTACGTACTGTAACGCTCCCCCTCTTAGTATAAATTAAATATATTATAGTATTTATACTTAGGTAATTTCCCTTTTTTAAATAAAATTATATGTATGTGACCAGGATAAATAAACTATGTTTTAATCTTTCTAAATGATCTTTCTAAAGGTTTACTAATAGGCCGTTTGTAATATATTTGGCGTGATCGTCTTAGTTAGAACCCTTATTTAGTAACTTAGTTCTTTTAGGTGTCTTTTGGAAGAATGAATATTCACTAGAGCAATTGAAAGCTGTTGGTAGTGCCTTATAAGCTAAGTGAACCCCGTTAACGAAGACAGGGCTCGAGAAAGGTTAAGAATATAAAACGTCCCTATTCCACTTGTATCAGGTTTACATTATTAATTTATTATTAATTATCCCTTCCCGCTTGGAAAAGGTTCACAATATATTAATTTATACAAAATACCCGATACAAGGCTTCGCTCTTCTACATTTTTTACACACGGCTCCACACACGCCGTGCATGGTGAGCGCCAACCATTTTGATGCACTCCCCCGAAGGGAACGTTAATTCGGGAACTGGACCGTAGTCCACAATAAAATAACTGGCGAACCAGTAAAAGAGGGCTTGGCCCCTTGGTAGTGCGTAAGCACAAACATCGACCGAAGTCGCGCATGTCAATGCGTGTAAACGCCATACAGAATACGAACGAATCCAGCCACAGTGAATGTACGTCACACGGTTTAGGCAAATAGGCACACTGGCCATAAACCCTCCGTGAGCGCCTTGGAGACCATGAAGACCTTCTATAATAATGCTTTAGTATAATAGAGCTTACTATCATAAGTCCCTAATATAGGACTAGACATTGTGCTACAGTACTTCAAGCGGTCCGGCACCCGACCACCCCATATATATGTACAACATCGGTTATGTGTCTCGGCTCCTCCATACAGGCCATCTATACATGAACACCCTCCATAACTTAGGAAAATTTTCTTTTAAACACGAACTACTTCCAAGACTTAGACAATTTTTGACCAATTTTCTAATTATCTTATAAATGTTATTTATCTTTATTTTTATAATATTTTCGACTTGTATTTCTATTATTTATTAAATTTTAAGTTTTTTAATAAATTTATTTATTGTGAAAAACAATATTTTGCCTCAAATTTACTACAATACTTAATATCTGAAATTTATTTATGTTTAACTTTATGCTTATTATTGTAATTTTATTGTTTAATATATATCTTTTAAGACTATTTTTGATGCCCCCTTATACAGAGATTGATTATTAATTATTAATAATAATGATGGATCGTTACAAGCTCTACTTTAACTTCAGAAAGTTCCTGTATCTACTAATATTTGAGTTAGAAGTGCTTATTTTTTACCGTAGTAACTTACAAGTTGCTCTGAATCCATTCCCGCCATATACTCCTTAAACGATATGGGTAGCTGATCTTAAATGATATTAAATGAGTAATTCTCGTCACTAGAAGTCCTTTATGCACCCTCTTCAATCTCTTATGGGCATGTTTCTAGATACCTGACGGTCACTGTCTTATTTCCCTCCATTGTTGCTTGTGCTTTATTTTTGCTTTACTTTGCTTTATTTTTTAGCCTTCCAATAGGCCTGTTTTAGCCTTCCAATAGGCCTGTTTATAGCTCTGATTTGCCTGATTTTCGTAAGCTTTTTGGGACTTTCATCCCGAACAACAAATAACTGTTATGTTGTTCACTGTAGACAAATATTCCCCTGTCTGCTTACATGTTTATTATAGTCCCATCAGGAAAGCAATAGGATAGGGGTCCAGTTTTCGAGTTTCTAGGGTCTAGATTTCAGAAGCAACATAGAAAACAAACATAATTGTAGTTGGTGTTTGCATTTTCCACCAGTCTAAAGGTAACCACTGACGATACGTCCATTTGGAAGACTTCCAAATGGATGCACTCCAAATAAAAATGTCTCCAGATACGGTACCATTGACGATACTTCCATTTGGACGCATGGCGTCACTTCGAACTTGGTAGTTGTACGGAACGGAAATAAATGATAATATGAATAATAATACTTTACTGGTGGTAGCAGCAGTGTTTATTTCATTAAAAAGACATAAAAACGTAAGAGAAAGTGGATGAAGGGTTGGTTGAAACAAAGAAATACATTTACACATATCAACTTATTGTTCGAATTATCTTCAGAGCCCACTGATTGGAGAAATTACTTGAGAATGGACGAACAGACGTATTTTAAATTACTGGAATTTGTAACACCAATAATAAAAAAACAGGATGCTAATATGAGGCTAGCCATAACTCCTCATGAGAGGCTAAGTGCTACACTTCGCTTTTTTGCCCTCAGGAACGACATATGAAAATCTGAAATTTGAAACTGCAATTTCTGCACAGCGCCTGGGAACCATTATTCCCGAAACTTGCAAGGCAATCATAACTGTTTTGAAGAATTATATGAAGGTAAGTAAATAGTACAATTTGTATTTAGTTTTTTATTACTAAGTATTATTTTACAACAACATTCGTTTATTATAGAGTGAAAGTTACTTATTAAAACTTAATTATTCAGTGTTGTCTGAATGTGTGTCGGCTATAGCGGAAGCAAATGCTTCATACAATATGTTATGATCCTGTTGTGAATATCCAAGCTGATTTACCGAATTATTCAAAATACCAGAATTATAATGGTTCTGGTTTGGTGGATTCAAATACATTTGCGAATTATTGACATTATTCTGGTTTGAATTATGATGTACAATGTGCGAATCAATAGTTAAATTGTTAGTTTCAGCCATGAATATCGCATCATTAAATATTTTTTGGCAGTACGTAGCCATCATCGTCGGCAAATTTCTTAATTTTTCCGCAATATGTTCACCAAATGACTCATATTGCTGTTTCGCCCGTGGAGGTTCATCCAGTTTCTTCGCTATCTTTGCCAAAACATTATCAGCTTGGGCTTTGGTTTTTCGTGTTTGAGTTCTTGACGATGAAGCCCCACTACTTTGTGAAAGTGGCGATTGCACATTCATCGATAAATTGGCTTCATTTTCATCATCGCTGATCTGAAAATAATTCGGTTTTTTGTTACAGATGCCAGATACTGAAGAAGAGTGGAGGAAAATCGCAAAAGAATTTGAAGAAAGATGGCAGTTTCCCAATTCTTTAGGGGCTATAGATGGAAAACATGTACGGATCATACCCCCTCCTGGAAGGGGCTCCTATTTTTGGAATTACACGAATTTCAATAGCATTGTGCTAATGGCTTGTGCAAATGCCAACTATGAATTTATATGGTGTGAAGTTGGTACAAATGGTCGAGTTTCGGATGGAGGAGCCATACAGAATACAAAGTTTTATGAAAAATTACTGAAAAAGGAACTTAACATCCCCGATGATGACAGGTGTCAAAACAGCAATACTAATTGCCCTTTGTATTTCTGGGGGATGAAGCTTTTGCTCTAAGTAGTGATTTTATGAAGCCATTTAGTAGAGCAGCTCTGACAACAGAAAGAAAAATTTTCAATTATAGGTTGTCAAGAGTTAGGCGAATAATAGAAAATGTATTTGGTATCATGTCAAACCGTTTCAGAATCTTTCATACTGCTATAAACTTACGTTTGGATAGAATTGATCTAGTTGTGTTAACATGCTGTCTCCTTCACAATTTTCTTAGAAAATCTGGCTCCCCTTACGCAACGGATAATGCATTCGATATTGATATCAATACTAATGATTCAATTGCTCCAATCGGTCTGACTTCATTAAATATAATAAACAGAAATGCTAGTAATAATGAAAAAAATGTAAGGGAAGCCTTTGTGCAATATTTTAATCGGGAAGGTAGTGTCAGTTGGCAATATGATAAAATAGTATAACAATGTAAATTATGTATGTACCTCAGCACCAACTTCAAACGGCATGTCATCGAGGATGGAATCTACTGATCTTGAGACCCTTGGTACATCCACATCTGCCAAGAAGAGCATTTCACTGTAGTACCACAACTTAGGGACATGAATTTCTGCTGTTCCTTCACCAGATCTTTCCGATACCTTAACCTGTGACACAATATAAAGTTAATTCAAATATACTTAACAAATTATCAAGCAATTCTTTAACATAAAATACTGATTTTAATGTATATTGTTTGATCGAAAATTTAGAACGAAATAAATATGCGATATTATTATGTTATTTTATTTGTATATACCTTATTACTAAATATCTACAGAAATAAATAAAGAAATTTTCTACGAATTTATTTATAACACATACCTTATTAAATTCCTTTTTAAAACAATTTCTTAAAGTGGTGATTTTTTTAACCGTATCTAGGTTGGCCTCTGGATCTTTTGTTTTAAACAACTCCAACAAAGCATTCATCGCTGCATTTTTCTTTTCTCTGTTGTGATAATCAGGATGTTTCACTTTCCATAAACACGGGTATGATTTATATTTTTCTATTACTTTCAACACAAAGTCACGCGCGGACGTAGACATAATAAAAATGTGTTTAATCTAATACACAGTTTATTAATATTATGTTATATATATATTATGTTTGACAAACAGGGCACATGTACCACCATCAACACCAAAACAAAAACTGAAACAAAAACCTCCCAAAAATGGACGCCGTTTCGACCATTGACGGACAATTTGAACTGCTTCCACTTGGCATGGCGCACGTTTTTGGCATTGACGGACGGCCGCGGACGACGTCCATTTGGACTGGACGCATGGATTTCAATCCATTTGGAAATCCAGTTGGATGTAGTCCATCCAAATGGAGTATGTTTTTACCATTCACGGAACGATTTTGGACGATTACCACTCCATTTGGATTAATGGACGTATCGTCAGTGGGCACTATTACAGCTATAGATCTGGCAGTTCGAGACATTTGCCTCGCAGACATTCTTAGAAACTTATTTACATACATGCGTATTATACATACTGCGTATTGAAAGAGTTGTTTAATATCTTTTTTATTAATATCAAATGTGCCAAAGTTACTAATTCCTTCGCCGTACTCTGTATCACGTCACCACTCATGGCTGACACTAATGTCATCGTAGCGCTAATAAACATGAAAAATGATGTTGTATGGTGTAACTTATGTAACGACCTCCATTATAATATTCATAATTGAAGCTCGGTATTATCCCTTCAGTCATATTTGTATCCCATCGACGCAGTACCCTACCTGTTCCTGTTGAGTTTCTCCCGCTCATGCAAACCGATGCTATTATAATATATAGTATAGGCGTGAACACCTATGTTATTTGTAATCCTTACACAAACAGCTTTAAACATCTTATTTCCTCACTATTTATCAGTGTGTAATAACGTAGATAAGCATGAATTTAGTCATTTTGATATGTTATTACCCAGTCATTTTATTACGATGTATAGGTTTTTACTAATCAAACAAACATTAATTAAAACAAGTAAAGTACCAATAAATTCTGAATATACCTCTACAACTATTTAACTTATAATGTCGGTGAAAATTATCCATTTAATTTGCTTTTAAGTTATTGCTATCTCCTTATTTTAATTGTTAATTTCTCAACAGTCCGTTTAGATGCAGTAAAACTATTAATACTTATCGTTTGAGACATTTTAAATATAATCACATCATTCTGATTTATCCCTACAACCGGTATTTCCAATCCACCTGAAATGCTTGTTGGACCTACTATCATAATATAAAGGGGATACCGCTTCATAACAATATGCCTATTTGACCCATCTTTTACTTTTATACGCATTCCACTCATTAAGTACATTAACATCCTGTTAATTTTCATTTTTTGCCACTCGACAAAATATAGCTCAAGCCCCTCATGCCTATAACAAGACCAATTGCTTTGAAATTAACCCCATGCAAATGTTTGAGTGTAGAAAAACTCTGACCGAGTGGCTCCCCACTCTTTATGATAATAAGGAAGACATTTCAGGTAAGAAAGAGATGAACCTGTCACGTTCATGCACGCATACCATAATAGTCAACTTATAGGCCGTGGCGCATGATTACTCCATACAAAGTTTGAGGACGTCCATATTCGTATCGCCGTATCACAAACAAAATATTGCATATGACTTGTCGGTAACGTCAGTAAGCGTTGACGTTCAAGGACGCACCGGTATATTGCTAAAATTATTATCCATCAAGGGGGCAACAACGTTTAGGTACGTCTACGTTACCAGCCGTTCTGTTCCGATTTGTGGGTATTTTAGACCTTACAGATTAAAAGAACGTAGTTAAACGTCAATGTCGGTACACGTTCTGCTTTCATCTCTAGACAAGATCCCTACACTATATTCAACAACGTTTAATAACGTCAACGTTGGGACACGTTCTGCTTTAATCTCTAGTCAAGATTTCTACACTATATTGAACAACGTTTAACAACGTTAACGTTGGGACACGTTCTGCTATAATCTCTAGACAAGATTTCTACACTATATTGAACAACGTTTAACAACGTCAACGTTGGGACACGTTCTGCTTTAATCTCTAGACAAGATTTCTACACTATATTGAACAACGTTAAACAACGTCAACGTTTACAGCCGTTCTGTTACTAGTTGTCAAATATTGATACCATGATAAGAAAGCAGCGTCAATGCACGTTGACGTTCATAACTGTTGTTCCACAAATATCTAGTAGAACTTAAAGTTTTGGGAAACAACGTTTAATTACTCCAACGTTACTTGACGGTCTGATCATAAATCGACTATACGAGCAAATTATCTGTCGCTCATCGTTTCCTGACGTTGACTTTGATTTATAAAAATAAAATAATAAACAGGATTTGATATGGAATAATACTCAATAATCATCAGTTTTTTGTTATATATTTTTAGAAAATCAACTATTTTTCAAAATTACCTACATATCACATTTTGTGTCAATATCTACCCTCTTCTCGACTTAATTGAAAATAATTTAGGTGCAATTGTCCATAAATTTCTTCCAAGTTTTAGTTTAATAAAATTTACTTTTACTTCCTATCCTATGTGTGAGTAACTTTTTCAAATTTTACGCTATTATCACATATCGATCAAATAATACTATGGTAAGTTTGGTTTATCCCATAGAAGTAACGAATTATTTCTCAAAATAAACAGTTTCTCACTACTATCTTATCAATAAATTACCACTATAGCACAATAACAATCAGTCTTACACAGTTTTGGTATAACATTGGTAGCAAAAAATTATAAAAATTATAAATACTCACTTACTTTTACCTACCTATCATATGAATGAGTAACCTTTTAACATTTTACGCTACTATCACAAAATCAAATAATACTCTGGTAAGTTAGGTATTTTCTATAAAAGTAACAAATTATTTCACAAAATTAACAGTTGCCTGCTTCTATCTTATCAATAGATTACCAGTATAGCACAATAATATTCAGTCTTACACAGTTTAGCAGATTTAGTATAACAATCGTAGCAATAAATTATAAAACTTCTAAATACTCATGATACAGTTATACTTATTTGATATCACTCTCATAAAAAGGAACAAAATGGGTAAAAAAGCATTATACTTCTTTGTGCCACTCTTCGAAGCAAAGAGCACACAGTGCTGGCTTTTCAGGGCAACCTTTACATCTCAGGCAAGTCTCCCTTCTCACCTTTTTTTTCGTGCACATCTTGCATTTCAAGTACTTTGATGTTTTGTTTGAACCCTCTTGCACGGGTATTTTCTTAGGCCAGTGACCATGGACTCTTGAGCTTCCGACGTCGTCGTCAATGGTACTGACTGGAAGTGGCAATAAATTAGCTCTGATTCTGTTGTCATATTTGCTGCGAGCTAAAATCACTTGCTCTGCTGTTAAATCTGCTGGTAAGTCCAACAGTCTTCGAATCAATTCCTCTCGGAAAAGCAAGAAATCACAATTGGCTTGGCAGTATTTTTTGAAAATAAAAAATGAGTTCCATACTGCGACATCCAACAAGTGGAACATCACTTTTTTATACCACCGGATTGATTTCCTTGGTGAGGAGTAATATGAGATCATTTGATCTGCTCTATCAACTCCGGATATGTGTTGATTGTATTCTGCCACTTCTGCGGGTTTAATTTTTCTTTGTTGAAATCTGTTTTGTATTTCTATAAGCCGAGGATGAACTGAAGTTGTTACCATAAGAACTGGTCGCTTGTCAACCCATTTTGAAACATAGACCTTATTTTTTCGTACCCACACATGTTGATTCTTCTTGAGTTTTTTCTTAATGATGTCTTTGGGATTATCTTCTCTGTTTGAACGTAAGGTACCTGTGGTGTGAGTTTTTAAGTCAACTAGCTTTTGCGAAAGTGTTACGGAATTGTAATAATTATCCATGTATAATTGATGTCCCTTCAGCAAATATGGCCTCATGAGACGAAGGACGATCTTTTCAGATTTTTTGCCAGTTCGAGCAGTTGTCTCTTTTCCGGAGTACATCATTATATTTAAAACATAGCCATCAGAAGTTGTCAACTCGAAGAATTTGATTCCGTAACGTACTTTTTTGCTCTTTATATATTGTCTGAAGGCAAGGCGGCCTCTAAATAAAAGCAAAGATTCATCCAAACTTAACAGTTTGTATGGCTTATAGCACTCCATGAAGCTCTTGGTAATAGCATTAATAAATTTTTCAATTTTATCTTTTCCTTTTGAATCTAAATCTGATACATAAATACATCTCAAGATTTGCTCAAATTTTCGAGCGGACATCACATAGTGAAAAATTGGGTGATAATACAGTGGGTCGGAATACGTAAAATTTTTGCGTTTTTGAGGAATTTTGATTTGACCCATAAGCAAACATAATCCAAAAAATTTCAAGATTTCTTCCCGGTTTGTGTCCCTAAAGTTATAGCTACGTGAGTTTCGAGTAATAGGTCTTGTTTTCTCACATAGTGCTCGCCCGTACGTATTAGTACATGTTACAATATAGTCTACAATATTAGGATTAAGAATTTTATCAAATATTTCCATAACTGTCATAGCTGGGTTGACTTCAAACTGGACACCTGCTGAACTTTCATCAAACTCGAACGAAGGTATGTCTGTGTTCGTGTGTTCCCAATCATAATTTATCAGTGGAGGAGTGCTTGGTCTGCAATTGGTCGCTGGACTTATCTCGGGGAGTGTGTCAGGCACGGAGTTTCTTTCGGCGGCCTCTGGGTCCAGCACATGACAGATAGAAGGGTTGCGTTGTACAAATGCTTCCCGATCCAAAGCGGATGGACTGGTAGGCGCAGAATTCGTTTCGGCAGCATCTCGTTCCGGCACAGGAGAGCCGGACAAGCCACGCTCTGCAACTACCTCCAGTGCAAGTGTGCTGGCCGGAGTTGGATATCTTACAGTAGCGTTTAGTTCTGGTGGTGCAGAAGAGCTAGGTGAGCGGCACTGCGTAGTTGCGTCCCAGTCCAGGGCAGGAAGGTTGGCTGGCGCGGGATTTTCCTCAGCAGCCTCCCGATCTGATGCAGACGAGCTAGGAGAGCGGCACTGCGTAGCTGCGTCCAGGTCCAGAGCAGGTAGGTTGGAAGGCGTCGGATTTTCCTCAGCAGCCGTTGGATCCGATACAGGAGAGCCAGGAGTGCGGCGCTGCTCAACTGCGTCCAGATCCAGGGCCGATAAGTTGGCAGGCGCGGGATTTCTTTCAGCAGCTGCTGGATCCGGTGCAGGAGAGCCAGGAGAGCAGCGCTGCGCAGTTGCGTCCAGGTACAGGGCAGATAATTTGACAGGCGCGGGATTTCCCTCAACAGCCTCCCGATTCAGTGCAGGAGAGCTAGGAGAGCGCTGCTGCGCAGCTGCATCTAGGTTCAATGCAGGTAGGTTGTCATGCGCGGGATTTTCCTCAGCAGCTGCTGGATCCGGTGCAGGAGAACCAGGAGAGCGCTGCTGCGCAGCTGCATCTAGGTTCAATGCAGGTAGGTTGTCATGCGCGGGATTTCCCTCAGCAGCTGCTGAATCCGGTGCAGGAGAGCCAGGAAAGCGGCGCTGCGCAGTTGCTTCCAGGTACAGGGCAGATACGTTGACAGGCGCGGGATTTCCCTCAACAGCCTCCCGATCCAGTGCAGGAGAGCTAGGAGAGCGGTGCTGCGCAGCTACATCCAGGTCCAAGGCAGGTAGGTTGTCATGCGCGGGATTTCCCTCAGCAGCTGCTGGATCCGGTGCAGGAGAACCAGGAGAGTGGCGCTGCGCAGCTGCGTCTAGTTCCAGTGCACGTAGGTTGGCAGGCGCGGGATTAACCTCAGCAGCTGCAGCAGCATGGTCGTCTTCAGCACCTTGAATTTGTGGATTAGTATGGGAGTGACTTCCTTCGATATGTGAATAAATTGAGATATTTTCTAATACTGCAGGATCAAGTTGCACTGAAGAGCTTTCAAGATTTTCTATATTATTTAGCAATGCCTCAGAATCTAACGACATAGTGTCGGTACTCTGATCTACACTGGCGATCTTAGGTTTTTTGTATCTTGATCCTAAAGAGGAACTCTGCCCCTTCTTTTTTCTCTTTCTACTGTCAAAAATACTCTCATCACTAGATTCTGCCGATATCGAATTTGTATCATCCTCGTTGTCATCGCTATCACATACATCCGTGCACTCGCTAAAGCCTTCGGTTCGATCGTCAGAATCAGAGCTGCTACTTACACTGCTTTCAGAGTTGCGTTTACCATGTGACCTCGTTGCGTTGTTCTTGGAACGTTTCTTTAGTTGTTTCTTTTCACGTTGCTTTGTGTGATCACTAACAGTGCTAGTGCTGTCTGTATTATCATCATATCCTGGATCATAGTCGTTATCGGAACCATACTCTCCATCATCACTAAATGGGTCTGGTGTAGATGGCCTTGATGAAGAATCATATTGAAACAACTTCATGGAAGCATTATTACTAATTTGGCGTGATTTTTCCACCTACAACAAAAAACATAGCTATCATCTTATTCAGGACACAAAATTAGAACATATGCGTACATTTGAGATTTTTTTTCAGAAAAAAACTAAAAATATAACTTACGGAATGAGTTTTCCTTGATATCCCACTTGGTCCAGCTTCACATTTTTCTTTGCAACCTACTTCAATTACTTTTTTCTTAGATGGCTTCTTCTGGCCTCTTTTTCTATTTCCTATCTATAAAATTCAAAAATTGCAGCGTATATATTATAATGCACTCATAACATCTATCACCATATCCTACAAAACTATAGAAAACGAAAAAATAACTTACGATTACTTTCTCAAATGCACGGCCTGCGAGGGTTTTGTAGCGTAAAACGTGGGTCACTGTACCGGCGCGCAAGCAGACTGGCAGTATGGCGACTCTAACCAAAAACGACGTTTGTCGACGTTGTTCATGTGTGTGTAGGTACCTATCAATGTGTGTGTGACTTATGTTCAAGTAAGAAAAAAACTAATGTATTGTAGCGCTAGAACTTTGAAAATTTCACACGATGCGGCGCAATGACGTAGCTACCTAAAGATTATACAGAGATTTGACGTTACTAGCCGTTGTGCTTGGAAATTAAAATTTTCTTAGGACGTGATTAGACTATGTGCGTCATCGCGAAGACATCAAATTGGACGTTCTGTGACGTTGTTAGAACGAAAGTGTTAAAATAACACACACTGACACAACACAAATCTGTAGGTAATGTGACACATTCATAAACTTGCACACATACACACCCACTCACACCCGCGCACGCACACGCACACGCACACGCACACGCACGCGCACACGCGCACACGCGCACACAAGCACACGTGCACACGCGCACACGCGCACACGCGCACACGCGCACACGCGCACACGCGCACACGCGCACACGCGCATACGCGCACACGCGCACACGCGCACACGCACAAACGCGCACACGCGCACACGCGCACACGAGCACACGAGCACATGTTTCTTCAAGCCTGGAAATTAAAAAAAAATAGATCATTTGTCACAGTAAAAACAGTCTTAGAAGCACTATTAACATAGGCATTTAACGAGACTGATGCAGTTTATGTCGACAAAGGCTGATGTGGTAAATGAGTATGAAAAGTTTTTATTTACTTACAAAATGTTCTTCACATTGATTTTCCTGTGTATTTAATCATAAATGTTACAGTTTCACGTTGTTTCATTTGACGTTGAAGAGCTCTCTCTGCATGTTTTCTTTTAATTTCCTTTGTCTCTTCACTTTCATGGTTCCAGGAAAATCGACTAGGCACCGCTTTTGGTTTTAGTTTAGGAGTAGCTGAAAAATTTTCAACAAAAGATGACAGATGAAAGTAAGTATAACTTGCTCGGTTATCAAGGTCAGGTTAAATTTAGTGTCTGAAACAACATGAACTTGATGTTATCTAGGAATAAGAAACATTATTACTTACGATTTTCTGTATTTGGTTCTTTAGGTAACGCATAATCGTCAGGGTTGAAATGTTTTTTACAAACACGCGAATGTTTTGAAGGGGTATAGTTGTCCCTGCGAATCGCTATTAACCACTGCTTTGAAACAGTTTTATCCTTCGGAAACATGTCCTCCTTTTTTTTCCGAACAAAAGGGGACTGCGCAACATTGAGGCATACTCTGTATTTATACGGTACGGTGTTAAGGTATGAAATATGATTTAAATGTAAACTTTCTTTTCACGACCGCGCTAACAAATTACTTACAGCTATACTTCAGGACCTTACTCGACAGCGGCGCCAACTGGTGAGCACGAAAACGGTAGCCCTCATTGCGTTAGCTTATGCTTATATTACGTTCATTTATTAAAATCTTTTTATTGATATTAACTTACATGAATATTAATGGCTTAGTTTATACAAATTCTATAACAAAACAACGAAAAAAGTATGCGTTACTAAATCTGCCGTTCCCCTTTCAACGATGATGACACTGTGTGACCATTTGCGTGGCAAATAACTTAACTCTCTCCCAACTCTGGTGAGCGTATGAATTTATTTGTAAAATTAAACAACATAGGAATGTATTAAAGATAATTTTTTTATGGATAACTGAGTGTTTTGTTCTTGATGCTTGTTTTTGTGTGTCCGCCTTCATCTTTCCTTTGTTCAAGGTCACCTTATGTTTTGTTGGTTTTCTTTAAAGATGGTGTTTTTGTGCGTTTGAAGAATATGGTAAGGTAAATGCATTTAAATGGTGTAGGTCATTGGATCGTAGCCAGCGCCGGCCACTTTGTTGTCGATCCAGTTGCGAAGGTTTGAGACGTCCACGTATACTCCGGGTATGCCGTCTTCACCGCAACCGATTCCCCAGGCCACGATGCCACTCTGCATGTAGCGATCTTTTTCGTACTGCAAGGGAAGTCAATAATAGGTGACGAATAAAAAAAAATATTTTTAAGGAAGTAAGGATGCTGCTGCCGATGAACACCTACGTCTATTCTTGATAAAGAATCAATATGCAGATGCGTTGTCACAGTGATAGATAGAAGGAATCGTTACCAATAAAAATGGTATCATGTTTTCTACACGCACCATACGAAACACAGCAGCATTGAGCTGATATTTTACGCCGGTATTCTATGTATTCTAAATGGAGTGACGACCTGGTAAGACATACAGGGAGTCGATGGATTGTCAGTGATGACTTATGGATCTGAGCCGTGGTCCTTAAAAGCAGGCCATACGAAGAAGTTCAAGGTCGCTCAGTGAGCTATGGGGAAGGCTATCTTCGGGAATTCTCTGCGTGGTACTCTTAGAAATGAGGAAATCCGCAGTAGAATGTAGGTTAGTTAAAACCAGTAAGCTGAAGTGGCGATGGGCCATCAGGTTCTTGAATGACAGCCTTGTACTGTTGAACGAATAGGGCGCATTCCCCCCACTAGATGAATTGACGACTTGATAAGACATGTAGGAAGTCGATGGATGAAGGTGGCTTAGGACCGTGCTTTGTGGCATGCCTTGGGGTGAGCCTGTGTTCAGCAGTGGACTAGTGTAGGGCTGTAATGATGACGATTCTTTGCGAGCGTGATCCTCATAATGTCGAGCCATTTGTGCAGCAGCTATAGCATATAACATCGTGGCTCTACCAAGTATGATGCCAATCCAATGTTGTAAGCCTTAATTGGTTGAAAGATAATTTTGTCAGTTATACAGTGGTGGTGTTAGATAAGGAGATGAGCAGTAGCGTCTTCCTGTTTCGCGCCCCCCTGGGCAGCTATGGCAAATCAGTGAAGCAATCTATGTGGGAGATTAGTGTTTAGCATGAACTTTTATAGGATGTAAGGGAATAATTAATTTAGTATTGTCAGGCTCGTGCACAGGCGAGGAATGCCTCTTGGTATTCTACAGAATAGAATAGAATAGAATAGAATATTTTTTCTCCTCATGAGAAGAAGTACGATCTAATGCTGGAGAAAGTGCAAAACACATTTGTAAGGTATTTGTATCTTAAGTTATATGGGGTGTACCCATTTTACCCACTGCAATATCCCACATTATTTGTTCTGGTTATGGTGGGATACAATCAGCTCAATGTAAGGAGAGAACTTAGACTAGTTTCATATATTTTTATGGTTCTTAGAGGTAGGATTATTAACGAGAATATGTTGAAGAAGATTAATATTTGTGTTCCGGCTAGGTATATATAGCGGCGGCGTCAGCCAGACCTACTGGCCGTCCCTGGACGTCGCACTAACTTACTGCGAGAGGCACCCCTGACGCGAGCGTTTCGAACATTAAACCTGATCGACAGAGAAACAGATTTATTCTTTTGTACTGTGAACGAATTCACAAAACTTGCATTATGGATAATTAGCTATAAGTTAATATACCTAGTAATATAGGTAATATAGGATTGTAAATGGTGCTTTATCTATCGCATTGGGTATAAACCTGTAATGTTAGATATAAGTTGAATATAAATAAATAAAATAATTTTTTTTAAATTAAATATGGATTACAAGTAATTCTTATTAAAAGTCAATATTTTACGTTACCACTGGTTCGAACAAAAACCTCTGTCCTGGGAAGAACCAGCAAGGAACCCAGAGCGACTTTTTCCCTCTCTACTAGTTATAAATCCTCGCCACATACGTTCCACACTACACTCTTTCTTTTATTGAAAAAAAACCCGGCATCTTATTTGCTGTACGCTCCCATGCTGTACGCATTACGAATCAAACCGTTTGGTTTAAATGTGTGAAAAATCAGTGACCCGGCGACTGCAAGTTGTCGGATGGTAGAAAGGGGAGGGAGGAATTAAATTATGTAATTCCAACCCACCCTCTCCGGAATGCATCAGTATGAACATAAAAACATTGGTGGTAATAACCCCTGGGAATGAGGTGGTCGCTTACCAGCTGTTTCTTAAATAAATTTTGTAAATATTTTGTGACCATTGACATTGTAAAATTTATTTAAAAAAAGTCGCTCTTGGTTCCTTGCTGGTTCTTCCCAGGACAGAGGTTTTTCTTCGAACCAGTGGTAACGTAAAATATTGACTTTTAATAAGAATTACTTGTAATCCATATTTAATTTAAAAAAAATTATTTTATTTATTTATATTCAACTTATATCTAACATTACAGGTTTATACCCAATGCGATAGATAAAGCACCATTTACAATCCTATATTACCTATATTACTAGGTATATTAACTTATAGCTAATTATCCATAATGCAAGTTTTGTGAATTCGTTCACAGTACAAAAGAATAAATCTGTTTCTCTGTCGATCAGGTTTAATGTTCGAAACGCTCGCGTCAGGGGTGCCTCTCGCAGTAAGTTAGTGCGACGTCCAGGGACGGCCAGTAGGTCTGGCTGACGCCGCCGCTATATATACCTAGCCGGAACACAAATATTAATCTTCTTCAACATATTCTCGTTAATAATCCTACCTCTAAGAACCATAAAAATATATGAAACTAGTCTAAGTTCTCTCCTTACATTGAGCTGATTGTATCCCACCATAACAAGAACAAATAATGTGGGATATTGCAGTGGGTAAAATGGGTACACCCCATATAACTTAAGATACAAATACCTTACAAATGTGTTTTGTACTTTCTCCAGCATTAGATCGTACTTCTTCTCATGAGGAGAAAAATATTCTATTCTATTCTATTCTATTCTATTCTGTAGAATACCAAGAGGCATTCCTCGCCTGTGCACGAGCCTGACAATACTAAATTAATTATTCCCTTACATCCTATAAAAGTTCATGCTGAACACTGATCTCCCACATAGATTGCTTCACTGATTTGCCATAGCTGCCCAGGGGGGCGCGAAACAGGAAGACGCTACTGCTCATCTCCTTATCTAACACCACCACTGTATAACTGACAAAATTATCTTTCAACCAATTAAGGCTTACAACATTGGATTGGCATTATACTTGGTAGAGCCACGATGTTATATGCTATAGCTGCAGCACAAATGGCTCGACATTATGAGGATCACGCTCGCAAAGAATCGTCATCATTACAGCCCTACACTAGTCCACTGCTGAACACAGGCCCACCCCAAGGCATGCCACAAAGCACGGTCCTAAGCCACCTTCATCCATCGACTTCCTACATGTCTTATCAAGTCGTCAATTCATCTAGTGGGGGGAATGCGCCCTATTCGTTCAATAGTACAAGGGTGTCATTCAAGAACCTGATGGCCCATCGCCACTTCAGCTTACTGGTTCTAACTAACGTCTACATTCTACTGCGGATTTCCTCATTTCTAAGAGTACCACGCAGAAAATTCCCGAAGATAGCCTTCCCCATAGCTCACTGAGCGACCTTGAACTTTGTATGGCCTGAGGGGCTCAGATCCATAAGTCATCACTGACAATCCATCGACTCCCTGTATGTCTTACCAGGTCGTCACTCTATTTAGAATACATAGAATACCGGCGTAAAATATCAGCTCAATGCTTCGTATGGTGCGTGTAGAAAACATGATACCATTTTTATTGGTAACGATTCCTTCTATCTATCACTGTGACAACGCATCTGCATATTGATTCTTTATCAAGAATAGACGTAGGTGTTCATCGGCAGCAGCATCCTTACTTCGTTAAAAATATTTTTTTTATTCGTCACCTATTGTTGACTTCCCTTGCAGTACGAAAAAGATCGCTACATGCAGAGCGGCATCGTGTCCTGGGGAATCGGTTGCGGTGAAGACGGCATACCCGGAGTATACGTGGACGTCTCAAACCTTCGCAACTGGATCGACAACAAAGTGGCCGGCGCTGGCTACGATCCAATGACCTACACCATTTAAATGCATTTACCTTACCATATTCTTCAAACGCACAAAAACACCATCTTTAAAGAAAACCAACAAAACATAAGGTGACCTTGAACAAAGGAAAGATGAAGGCGGACACACAAAAACAAGCATCAAGAACAAAACACTCAGTTATCCAGAAAAAATTATCTTTAATACATTCCTATGTTGTTTAATTTTACAAATAAATTCATACGCTCACCAGAGTTGGGAGTGAGTTAAGTTATTTGCCAAATGGTCACACAGTGTCATCATCGTTGAAAGGGGAACGGCAGATTTAGTACCACATACTTTTATCGTTGTTTTGTTATAGAATTTGTACTAGATATCAAGGCAACTAAGCCATTAATATTCATGTAAGTTAATATCAATAAAAAGATTTTAATAAATGAACGTAATATAAGCATAAGCTAACGCAATGAGGGCTACCGTTTTCGTGCTCACCAGTTGGCGCCGCTGTCGAGTAAGGTCCTGAAGTATAGCTGTAAGTAATTTGTTAGCGCGGTCGTGAAAAGAAAGTTTACATTTAAATCATATTTAATACCTTAACACCGTACCGTATAAATACAGAGTATGCCTCAATGTTGCGCAGTCCCCTTTTGTTCCGAAAAAAAGGAGGACATGTTTCCGAAGGATAAAACTGTTTCAAAGCAGTGGTTAATAGCGATTCGCAGGGACAACTATACCCCTTCAAAACATTCGCGTGTTTGTAAAAAACATTTCAACCCTGACGATTATGCGTTACCTAAAGAACCAAATACAGAAAATCGTAAGTAATAATGTTTCTTATTCCTAGATAACATTAAGTTCATGTTGTTTCAGACACTAAATTTAACCTGACCATGATAACCGAGCAAGTTATACTTACTTTCATCTGTCATCTTTTGTTGAAAATTTTTCAGCTACTCCTAAACTAAAACCAAAAGCGGTGCCTAGTCGATTTTCCTGGAACCATGAAAGTGAAGAGACAAAGGAAATTAAAAGAAAACATGCAGAGAGAGCTCTTCAACGTCAAATGAAACAACGTGAAACTGCAACACTATGATTAAGTACACAGGAAAATCAATGTGAAGAACATTTTGTAAGTAAATAAAAACTTTTCATACTCATTTACCACATCAGCCTTTGTCGACATAAACTGCATCAGTCTCGTTAAATGCCTATGTTAATAGTGCTTCTAGGACTGTTTTTACTGTGACAAATGATCTAATTTTTTTTAATTTCCAGGCTTGAAGAAACATGTGAAAAAATAGACATTGAAAATTCAAATAAAGATGTCTCACTATAATGCTCTTTTATCTTTGTCTTCAACCTTTTCGGAGATCAAGTGAACAATTTGAAGTACTATCCATCATTGCAGCCAGCTCGTGGAAAACATGCATGGACACCTTCTGATCAATTTTATTTGACACTAATAAAACTCTTAACATGGATTAATTAACTTTACTGTAAGTTCAAGGATCTAAATGTATGGGTACCAAAGGAAGCAATTGATGAAAATGTAATGTATCGAAGAAAGACTAATACCTCTACAGTAATTTTAGATTGCACTGAAATAAAAATTGAAAATGCACAAAATTCAGTTTCACAACAAGCTACTTATTCTAATTACAAATCAGCGAACACTCTGAAAGTATTGGTAGTAATTACTGGCTCTGGGTGTGTGACCTTTGTTTCAGATGCATACGGTGGATCTGTCAGTGACAGAGAGTTATTTGAAAAGTGTGGTATCATTAATCAACTTCAAAAAGGGGACATTATTCTCGGTGATCGTGGTTTTAATATACAGGATCTAGTTTCTCATATGGATGTTACAGTAAACATGCCACAGTTACTGAAAAAAGGTAGTAATCAGTTTGATGCACTCGAGCGTAAAAACTGTCATCTGAACTTATCAATGTTGAACGTGTTATAGGCTTAAGAAAATAGTAATAAGTTATCATCTAATTTGGTAGCTCTTGGAGGAAGAATCATATTTGTGTGCTTCATGCTTGTCAATTTCAATGTTGCTAACCCTGGGACACTCATGAGGTGGGTACTACTAAAAACAAAGAGCCCTTCTCCTTTGCAACTTATTCACACAACAGATATTATTATACGATATAGCTATTTGGCAAAGGTTTTTTGTAAGGTGAAGGCAACCAATTATTGTATCTCAAGAAGCTTTCTCCACTTTGGGTTGCTCAAATTCAATCAGGAATCTAGCTGTGTCATACCCATTACCTTGTTTGTGTTTCTTTCATGCTTGAACATGTTAGGCACAATTTATGTCTATCGAACTTAGTGTTTAATTTGTATTTCTTTAATGCTATTTTTATATCTGTGGCCATCTCATGAAATAAATTACTTACAAATATCATCCATGAATGAAGTTTGTGAAGTTTGCTGGGACAATGCTCGAGATTTGAGCTTACATGTACCAGAAGGATGACAAGAAAGACCCCAGCACATTGTGTTGTCCAATATAAGAATTTCCGCTTTCATGCAATATATACACTAGAGGTATCCCGATGCAATCAGAAGTTATTACTGTAACTGCATTGTAGGTTTAAGAACAGTGGGATGCTACTCACATGTTATTAGTATTATTTGGTACCTACGCCATGCTCGCCATGAGGGTATTACCCGGCCTGCCCCCTTCTTAGATGAAGTTTTATAAAGAATTCATTAATTATAAGTACAATGAAATAAATGAACTTAAAAAACAAAATATTTTTTATTTACCTACACTCTAAACCCTATCAGAACTTTATCATTATCAAATTGTTGCAGTCCGCTGCTAAATATAGGTATCTCCTAATTCACAGCGCTGAATAAATACCGATCCTCATCTCAATCTACATACTTAATGGTAGAACCACGCTGTAGCTATAATATAGTTGTGGCACGAATGAGTCTGCTCGACCGGGGAAGAACCACGCTCTCCCAGAATACCAGTGTAAAATAGCAGCTTAATACTGCTGTGTTTCGTATGGTGAGTGTAGAGATCCGGAGACCCTTTATTACTGGAGACGAGGCATTTGATCCTAGTCCTCAGAGGTGGAAACGCATCTGAATTTTGATTCTAAATCGAGGATAAATGTAGATGTCCATGGGCCACAGCATCCACTAATCATCAAGTGGACTGTCTGTTCCATTGTCACCCTTATTTTATAAAAAAATAATGGTTAGTAAAGCACTACAAAGTAGCGAAAAGCAATATAGAATATTTACTTTAACACAAAAACAATGTTTATTTGCCTATATGTAACGATCTACATAGGTACACTAGGAGAGGTTTTGGCCGTCGACGGATTGTCGCTCCTATTTTGTTGCTTGAATAATGGTTTGAAGTAGATTTTGATTCGTTAAGGAGATGCGATTTTGTGAATTGTCTGCGCGTGTGAACTATTAGAGAAAACGACGAAGCAAGTAGTTTGATGTTGATATAATCTCCCAAAAACTGTGACGCAAAAAGTGACGCATCAGCATATTGTGATGAAAAAAATATATAAAAACGAAGATTACGAAAGAAGTTATAGGCTCAGAAGGGCTAAAACCCAAAGCCGTAAAGCCAGATAAATTTGAAAAAAATTGTAACACTTGTACATAACATTATAATATAATAGTCTATGGTCTATGCAGATAATCTTAAAAATTAAAACTGGTTATAACTTTTATCTCCCAAGTTCTAAAAATCTAAGAATTTAAAAGGGGTTTGTCTATCCTACTAACTACTAATTAAAATATCCCAAAACACGAAATTTTATTAGCGGTACGAAACTCCTACACAAGCCTGACATTCCTCTTTGCGTTTTAAATATAAGCTTTTCGGTTTCTAGTGTATAATGGAGCACAAAACAATGCCTCAGTAGTATGTTCTTTAATTTTCACACATTTTTTTATCAAATGTATGTCCCTTTAAAATTATCATGAGGTCGCATGCGCCCTGCAAATACTGAGCGGTCGCATGTGACCGCACCCACCCGCAACACTTAAAACCATTAAAACTTATATTTGGAGACTACTTTTCTATGAAGAAGTTTGGCATTATAAAATCTATACAAAATTCTCTATATAAAAGTTAGGTTTTAGTTCATTAAAAAAAGACTATTGTGTTTTGATAACAAAAACAAAACACACCAAGCTAATGTCGGCAGCGTGAATATCACAATTATTTCAATATATATTACTCGAAATTATTTACGTAAAAAGATAAATTATATTCACACAAACTTTCATTACAATTTTATAATAAAAAACTATAAAAAAATTCGAAAATCAACACAATAACATTTACGCGAAAATGGCGTACGAAATGATCGTAGATTATAAATAAATATCCATAGCATAACTATTTTTATATATAATATTGCAAAACTATTGCAGTAGAGTATAGAAAATTTTATATTGATTCTATAATGCCAAACTTCTTTATGGAAAAGTAGTCTCTAAATATAAGTACCAATGGTTTAAAGTGCTGTGGGTGTGAGCGGTCGAATTCGCCCGCTTAGGGGTTGAAGGGTTAAGGAAAATCCGTAGTTCGGTTTATAATACAAAATAATACATACATTTCAGAAGAAAAAACATTAGTTTATTACACTTTTCTAACAATTAACTTCCCCACTATGAGATCTGTTAATATCGAACCTCATTACAAAGTGGCGCCGCCCTGGTGGAAGAAAAAGTTGTAGATGCCTTCATTGAAAATTTATAATTTCTAAGACATTATACAATTGAACTGCAAAAATATATTGTATCTTAGGTACCAATCTACGATCAAAACAGACTTGACCATATCCGAATATAAAATTTTCAGTTTGACAATAAACAATTTTACGAGTTTAAAAATAATTTTTTTGAAAAATTGTACAAAACTGTATCATAATATCAAGGGATACATTTAAAGCCCCGGGAATGAGATTGTCGTCATCATTCTGGTTCTATTAAAATTTATATAAAAAAATCTCGCTGGGTGTCTTGCTGGTTCTTCCCAAGGCAGAGGTATTTTCCCAACCAGAGTGGTAAATGATAGAGTCTCGTCCGGACCGCGCTAGTGAGCGTTCTCGTCCGCCGGTCGTCGACTCCCGCCCGGGTGGGAGAGGTACAGCGCGTCGCTTCGCAGTGGGTGCACGTGCTGTGGGGCCTACTCAGCTTACGTGGAGCCTTGAGGACGCCCCTGACCCCACCCGGGATGAAGATCACTTAACGCTGTGTTTCACCTACACGCTGGGAAGCGAACACCGAAGGCCCGGCGCGCTGCTGATGAGCGCACGCCTGTTGGTAACTTCGGCTCTGCGTCGAGATGCGCATCCGCGGGACCTGGAGGTTGCTGACCCTTCGGCAGATCCCTTCCCAGAGGCGCGAGAAACGCCAACTTCTGCCTAGGGATACCAGGAATTCACCTAGAGCCAGGAAGAAGCACTTTTGGAATTCCGCCCGAAGTGCTGCATGGTGCGCACACCTGTCGGCAAGATTGGCCCTGCGTCGACTCCTTGTCCGCAGGACTCCGCAGGGCTTTGAGACGGCTGACCCTCCGGTAGCACACTACCTGGTGGCGCGCAATACGCCAACGAAGATTACTTACAATGTCGTACTTGTACGGCTCCCAGGACCGGTCCATAGTGGTGGACCGCGAGGAAAACCCGGGTAATGGGGTATTCCCCGAGGCCCGAAACCTGCATGGGATAAACAATAGTAGTCCCATAGTAGATGACAATACGAGTTGGTAAATGTTACCGTGTAGTGGCGGTGTAAGAATATCCACTATCATATCATCCCTTGGGTGTCGTAAGAGGCGACAGAGGTAACAAATCAGATGGGCAGCGGCGTCTTCCTAATGACGACCATAAATAAAAAATAAAGCGGGGTTGCTATCCCGCTTGCTACACCTGGTTACTACGTCAAGTGTCCCTATAAGACAATCTATGGGGGAGGCCTATGTTGAACAGTAGACTTTAATAGGCTGTTCAGTAATGGTAACGGTAAATAAAGTCTGACTTTCCAGTAGTATTATGTAATAATCAATATTGAATAAATAATATTCTATTCTACTCTGTTAGGGTT